TTTATCAATAAAATTTTCAAATATAAAAAAAGTATCAGTCTATGAAATAGAAGTCTGCTAAAAAGTAGGTATTAATGTTCAAATATTTTGAAAAAAGAATCAAGTGTGGTCATGCTAATTCTTGGATTATTTATCTTTTACCTGATTCTAGAGAGAGTTTCAGAAAGCTCATTAACTCCTCTGTCTCGTGCTCCCCGTGGAGTCTTTGGTGCAGAGGCCCCTAGGACAGCCTGAAGGTAGTCAAAGAGGCCTTTTTGCTTTCCTTCTGGGGGCACTAGGGATCCAAGGGTGATTTCCTTTTTCTCCTCCCAGGAGTGGGACCTTGCTAAAGGAAGTAGGCAGGATGCAGGCAGAAAAAAAGCGACGGCCCTGCAGGCTTTCCTCAGGCTGCTGTCCCCAGACCACCCCTCAGTGGCCTCAGGCCTGAGGTGCAGGAGAGCTTCAGGTGCTATGAACTCCCATTCCTCCTTGAGGTGCAGCCATTGCGCGAAGATGAAAGGGTGCAAGGAGCTTGTGAGCCAAGGGAGGACAAAAAGCAGCCCAGCAGGGGAAGGGCCAAGGCGAAGAGTGAAAGAGGCTGAGCGGGAGAGAGCTTTTCGAACAGTGGAATTTAGCTTTTAGGAGAGGGAGAATGACTGTTTGCTTAGGCATTTACCCAGTGGGATGTTTACTCATGGTTTAATGGCCAGACAGACTGAGTTAGTGTTAAAAGAGAAAGGAAACCCTGTTGGGGCAGGAGGTGGCCATGAAGCAATCTGTGCATGCTCTGTACTGGGAAGGGACCCTACCAGGAACAAGGATGGCACTGTGGACGCAGAACTGTGGCTTCTCTAGTTCTGATGGCAGATTTGTTCCAAGCCATGTAGTCCTGTGTTTTAGACCCTTGTTTTTGAGATGGCTGGTCAGCTGTGTAGGGACGTTTTCTGTCGCCATGGAAAAAGTGAGTGACACTGGCTCGCTCATGACTAGGCTCAGTGTGGTTTGGATGCTACACTGTCTTGGCCCACTGCTGTTAGACTCCTCGCATGTTGAGATATTAGTCTGGAAAATAAGTGCATGCATGCGTACACGTACGCACAGCCTGGGAGGCAGGACCTGGAGCTGCTACAGCCAGCCAGACTCCTCTTCGCCGCAAGGTTCCTGGGCTTTCTCGTTCAGCCTAGAACTTATTTGTTCCTGTCCCTTGCAGGTCTTCATGTCACTGGATGGGGACCAAAGTCCCCCTAGAGAAGAGATGGGGACCCAGCTCACCTGGGGCAGGTCCTTGGCCCAGCACAGAACGGCGGGTCAGGTGCACATGTTTTAAAATCGGGAAGTCGGATGAACTTTTGTTCTTATTCTCCTGCTGTCCTGGCACCACTTTTCCCACGGATGGCACTGTGTCCTCTCTGTTGGCACAAACCCAAGCACACCTTCCTGCTGACTTCCATCAGTGTAGCTGCTTTTTCTTTTATCATCGAGGGGACGCTTGTGATTCTTTGTTCGCCATACACAGCAACCTGTGATCAATCACTCTAATACGCTATCAAATTTATAGTATCAAATTTATAGTGTCGCAAGATAAACACAGGCTGAATTGACACACTTATAATATCATTAATACTCTTAGAAGTGAGAACCTTGGAAGAAGGAAAGATTTTTGGCGTGAAAAAGGCACTGTAACCTTGGGTAACTTTAATTATGACTTAAAGCTACAGTTTTTTTCAGAATTATAATTTTAAAATTATGATTTCTTTGTCTTTTGGTTTCCTTCTTTTCTGAGACAGGGCTCACTATGTAGCCCAGCTAGCTTTAAGCTCCAAATCCTCCTTTCTTGGTTCCCACACGCTACACATACGTGTCACCATACCTGGTTGTCTTATTTTGATTTCTCTACGTCACCATGTTTTTTTCTTGTGCTCTATCAGCTCAACATCATCTCTTCTGATAATTCTTTCCTAACCGTCATATCTTGAATCTTCCTGGAACTTCCTTTTTTTTTTTTTTTAAAGACAGTGTGGGCTTGGTCCAGTCTCTCAAGAAACTGCTCCACCTCCAAACTCATCGTGCAGCCTGCATGCTTGCTGCTCCATCAGATTCACCAATTTACAGATGGCCAGACTGGCTGAGGCACTGTCGTGCCTCAAAGGGGACAGGGACAGAAGCTGTCACATCATCCTTACTGATTGATGAGAGCATTACTTTTAATTCTCCAAAACTCCAAGTGCGTCAAATACTTCCATTTTGTTTTTAAATGAGTGACAGTGACTTGGAGAAGGTAAATGATTTGCTCAGGGTCACACAGGAAATAAGGAGCAGACTAGGATTAAAACTCAGGTCTCTCAGAGTCTAAAACTTCTGCCTTAAATTGTGATTTGGTACCCTTTCACAAAACACTAGCTATCCAGGCTGGCATTCAGTGTGGGAGATTTCCTCTTTCAGAAAATACTTAGATACAAAACAGATAGGAATCAGTCAGGGGAATGTTGGACTGGAAGCGAAGGGATCTTCTCTTGTGTCTGCCCGCCCTTGCCCCACGTACTTGTGGGTTAACGTTTGTCTGAGTCTGTTCTGTGCTGCCATAAGAGGATTCCTGAGGCTGGCTAACTCATCAAACATAGCAGCTTTCCTGTCAGGATCATAGTGGCTGGAGGAGCCAAGGCACATGACACCAACGTCCTGGTTGTTACAACATGGTAGAGAAGTCAAAATAGAACCACCAGAAGAGGGCAAGCACATGGATGGCCCTTCGGTGGTCTCCGCATTCCTAGAGAGCAAGAACTCAATAAAATTGCCACCATGAATGAAAGGATGAATTAAGGAATTCTGTGGCTGGACCAGAGGAAGCACTGTGGTCACATTTTGTGAACAGCTTTGTCCAGCATCCTTGTACAAGGGAACTGATTGGTGTACATACAGGCAATCTGGAAAAATCCGTAGCACACATAGCAACCTCAGGCAAAAAGTTTCACTGGACTACCAACTTTGGTAGTGCATGCTTGTAATCCCAGCACTTGGAAGTCTGAGGCAGGAGGGTTGTTGAGAGTCCAAGGGCAGCTTGAGCTATACAGCAAGATCATGTTAATCCTAATTCTGATGGCTGGCAGAGGAGCTTGAGGGCTTCTGATGGGTGTGGAAGTATGTACATAGAGGCGTAAACCATGGAGCCACAAGAAAGAGCTGGGTTAATTAGGGGTCTGGTGGGGAGGGTGGCAGAGCTTGCCCTGTCTCACTGAGGCTGAGTCCTGAAAGGAGGTGCATAATGCAGAGCCTCCACGCAGCCCGGGGACAAGGGACCCAGGAACCCCAATACATTCAGTGAGCATTTATGAATCTGTGCGCTATGAAGTGCGTATTGAAAGACTACACCTCCCTTCAAAATCTTTAGTGACATCTACTTTGCTAACTGACACTTCAATTAATTAATTAATTAATTATTTGGCACAGGGTCTCACTACACAGCTTAGACTTACAGTGATCCTCCTGTCTCAGCCTTCCCAGCACTGGCATTATAAGTGTGCACCACCAGGCCTGGAGTTCTGGGGCTGGCACAGCATGTGGCACTAAAGATGAAACCTGGATCCTTGTGCTTACCAGGCAGATGCTTAAGCCACCAAGCTATCTCCCCAGCCCAAAATTATTATTATTATTATTATTA